CTACAACGCGTTGAAATCTACAAAGGCGTGATGTATATTTTGTTTGTTGGCCAAAACGTTCGCTACATTTTTGTTTTTAGAAAGTAATGAAAGCGATTTTTTAATATATATATATATATATATATATATATATATATATATATATATATATATATATATATATGTCTAATTTTCATTGTATTGAGTTAGCTGGCATATTAATCAGTGTCACGACTGGCAGAATTTTCTTTTTTGTTTCTAAATATGAAAGTTGAAAGAAGCAATACTATATACATAATGGGATGGGTAGGCAGTACCAGGATAATAAGCCCCGGTATTCAGTCGATTACCAGTTCCAGTGGATATTATTACATTTAGCTTCGCTGGAAAGAGCGATACTGGAACAAGCGATACAATTACTGGACCTGTTAAACCTATTTTACTTAAAATTGTTTTAAAATTCAGGATTTATAAATTTAAAGCGACAAAAGTACTGACTGTTCGATTAATGAATGACAAATGTTTCCTTATAAGGAAACAATTATTAATTGCCATTACGGATATATCCTTCAGTTAAGAAAAAAAAAGATAAAAAGAAAATGAAGTTATAAAAAGAGCATGTCTATATTCCTGAGATGAGGTATTATGTACAGTTTTTACATTATTCGGACTATTGTCCTCATCTTTGTCGCCATATTTATCACAACGTTTCGGCCGTTGTATGCTCCCGCCTTCTTCAGTTGGTTGGAATTTCGAACTGAACCCCTTATTTCGATCACTGGGGTAGACTGTTCTAATTCCACGTGCCATGTTTGATGGATGTCAGTTATCAGTTATCTCCTGCAAATTTTCCCTCTGAAAGTTCTCCACTGCCTTAACCGGGTATTGAACTCACACTCTTTGGGTCTGTCATTGGATCTAACCAACGCCTTTATCCACTGTGCTATGTGTCCTGGATGAGTCTCATAAAAATACACATTGGAAATCTATGTTTTTTTTTTTGTTGTTTTTTTTTAAGCTGGTCTCCCCACTGAGTCGAGATGGAGCACAAGGTTGTGTTTAATGTTGTTAACCTGAGCGCGTACACTTGGGCCAAGGACAAAAGTTGTCCAGCTCCCGAAACAGTCTGTTGCGATGGCATCAGTATGACTACCGATCCCCCAATCTCGAGGGCAATGGGGCGTGCAGACTCCGGCAGCAGTCCACCGGGAACGGGCATCTCACAATAATTATTTTCCTCATCTACGTCTCTCTCCACGAAAAGAAACACAACCCCGAATCCCACTCTGCCCGAAGTCAGAAATGCAACTGAAAGATGATAAACTCTACCATACATGTGCCAGGTAACTATGAAAATGGAAAGATATGAATCCATCAAATCTCACCTACTATGATATAAAAAGTAGTGCCCAGAGCAGACCGGTTGGAATGTGACTCTAGGAAGAAAAACACTGCATTAAAAAACAGTATCCTTCTGTAGTTGTAAAAATTATTATAGCGTAAATACTACGCCTGTAAAACAATAATACGTTAGATTTCAGAAAACTTTTATAAAACTAACAGAGAGGGCGATACCAGCGGGCATTCGACCCAAGAAATGCTTTTCCGCATTTATTTTAACGATTTCTCCAAGCAAGGTGATAATGTCATTAAAACGAATGGTGTTACTGAAGGTGAAAGTACAATAAAGGGACAGGGTTCCTTACTAATTATTAAATACAAAGGATTGTACCAGACTGTTGTTTATAAACTTATGCAAGAAGCAATACAAACCAATTTCACCATGTGTCGAAACATAGTTTTATTTGTATTAGTTTTTCGTAATCGGCTGCATGTTTTTTCGTTCCGAGCCTCTAACCATTAAAATGTCTACGCTTCCGGGATCTACATATGTTAGGCAAAAGAGGAGCAACTGAACATTATTAACACATGAGAGTTAAAAAGATATTTTATGAAATAGTTCACCCCGAGACATCGTTGCACAAGCGAAAGTGGCTGTAACATAGTACGGATTCTACCCAATATTGGATAGCAGAAATCTTTGTTTATATATATATATATATATATATATATATATATATATATATATAACTATAAATATAGATAACTATACTCGTTTCGAAAAAACGAGAAATTTTCCTGACGATCCGCTTACGTGAAACCTGGGTAGGTTTGTCTGGCTCACTAGGTTTATATATATATATATATATATATATGTGTGTGTGTGTGTGTGTGTGTGATATTTCACATAGATGACATATAGAAACACAATGAGATTTTAAACACGAAATTTTATTGAAAATGAGAGAATTTTTTAATTGCACTTAAATATTATTTTGGGAATATACGTAAAATCAATAAATCCATCTATCTATCTATCTATCTATATATATATATATATATATATATATATATATATATATATATATATAGTTCAAATTTATTCAAATCATGTTACACCAGAATTATCCATCCCACACAATGATTAGCATCTACAAAATCACAAAACTTTTTCCAGTTTACCAAATAATACGTTTAGGCATTTGACTCCTTTTTTCGAAGAATCAGCAATAAAATGTAAAGTAAAAATAAATGTTCATTTATTCTATTTATTTGTCATTTATATTTATTTTTTAACAGATACCCTTGACCCATTGGGTCACAGACCATTCAAGTTTTAAGACATTGAAGTTGATTTTAACATCCCATTGAAATCAGAATTAATTTTATTATGATTAACTTAAATATTTCAACTTGTTTCTGTCATCATTGGTCTGGTTAACAAGGTCATGTTTAACGTTTTACCGATTGTTTACAGCATTTAATATGAATAGAACTTCCGGGATAAATTTGAACATTAAATCAGATTAACTTAAAAATATTTTTATAAAATGACAAAAAGTATTTTCAAATCATATTCACTCGAAAACATTTTTAAAATATGCCAAAATAAAATATTTTTAAATATTTAAAATAGTGATTGTTTAAAGACAGCCGAAATATAAATAATTACGCTACAAACAAGTGGACGAAACAGCAAATCAGGATCTCTTTGTGTCTGTCTTTAACCTTAAAATATTTTAATTAAAAAAATTATCTGTTTGAAGAAAGCTAAAATAAAATTCTTACTGCATAACCAACTCATATTTTTAAATCTTATACAGTTAAATCAAATACACTTAAATGCGATTAACTGTAACGCATCAAGCAAGCACCCAATCACAGACTATTAGTATTATATAGATTGTTTACTGCATGTAAAATTATATTTACTCTGCATAAAATGTATTTTTTAAATATGTTGGGGTGTCTGGAACTAATTGATTGAACTTACAATGTTTCTTAAAATATATTTTATTTCGGTTTTTGGTCATTTCAGGTCTCGGTAGTCTTTCTGGGTCGAATTCTGATCGATACGCGAGGTTATACTGTATTTTTAAATTATCATATCTTTATAGTTGCTTTGTTGTCACTTTTCGTTAGGAAATACTGCAATTTTGATAAAATGAATATTATTAATGACAGAGTCTTTGTAGAAAATTACATCTATCAAGTGGAATTGTGGTCCCTGCAAAAGAAAATTTAGTCAATCTAATAAAATATTTTTGCCTGTATTTTTATCTCTGATCGCCTACATTCGAATTACACTAATGAAAATGCTTTAAATGTTTGTCTCCTATTTCGTGTCAATTCCAAAATATTAAAATATTTTAAATCCAAATATTATGAGAAACATCAGTATCGGAAAGACATTTGATATATACTCAGATCATTTCATATCTTAAATTGCTCATTACTCGCCATCGGCATCGGATACTGTTGGGGCGCACCCACCTTCTGACTGATAATGGACTTATCCCTCTACAATATAAGTCAGTGCTAGAGAGTGTAGTGGTGTAGTATGAAGGATCAGGTTACCATTACATACCGTTGGACTGTAGACTTTTGCTATTGTGACTTACTAACCGGCGTTCCTTATTACTAATCACTCTGTTGTTAATTACCTCTTACAAATATACCAGTATTTATCCCTACAACTGTGTTTGTCTTTATTCGAATACACACACGCGGGCAACACTCCCAACAACTCAACAGATACAAAGCATCAAATATATTTTATTGTATTTATCATAAAATCAACATCTAGACTTTTATTGCTGTGTCTGTTTTGTGTTTTTTTTTTAGTGCTGACTCCATTTTTGATAATGGAATACTCGCTCCCCTCCTCCAACAAAATAAAAGATGTCTAAATGTATTAAATATTATTTTCGGAAATTTTGGTTCCTCAAAGCAAAACATTTTTTTTTAAAACCCGAACCCCTAATTTTAATTAGAAATATGAAAGTTTTGATTTAATCTATTCCTTAATTACAAATAACGTTACATAGTTCCATAATTGAGCTTACAATCATTCAGCAGATTCACAAACCAGAAATATTCGTTTGGATTTATTGTGCGTGCACACCGTGCGCCCTTATACCTGACCAAGCTAAGCTTACTAAATATCTATAAATTCATTCAAACTTTTCGATCAATGCGAGAAAGTCATTTCGAACAAGCCTTTGAAACTAATAGCATTTCGCAGATTTCTTCATCGACAGTTTGTTAAGAAGCAATGATGGGTCACAGAGGTGAGACGCAGTCGTTTTTACCTCTCCTTCCATTGATTATCTACGCCGGTAGATTTTGAAAAGCCGCCATGATGTTCCTTCATCACATCACCTAACTCACACCTCCCATTTTGCCACAGCTTGTCCACTGCTATCTGGACACTGCTGGACAATTACACCGTCCCAACCCCGACGCTTCGTCAAAACTCTCCCGACCAGTTCTCCCTTCTGCTGCCATCTGATTTTCAGCTATTCGTGGGATTTATCGAGATTCGACGATTTTAAAACGAGAAGGGAAATTTACAATTAAATGAAGTCCTAATCTGCTGGGTCACGTGTGTTTCTGAGGCGGTAACGAGTTGGAATTCATTCGACATGCAGAACGTCTATTGTGATGGTCGGTGGATGATGTTAGTCGTGGGGTAGTGAGGGTGAGATGAAGAAAACCTTTACCGATTGAGTTATGAAAAAGAGGAAATATTGGGATTTGTTAGGGAAAAAGAGAGAGTAAAAGAAAGTAGAGGAAAAGGGAGAATGACAAAAAGAAAGAAAAATAGTGGAGTATACAAATACGAAAAAGAGACAGAGAAAAAAATCAGAGACAAGTAACTAAAGATTGATTAATTAATTTGTTATTTTATGGCTTATCAACCTTTTGCAGGCTATTTTAAATCAGAGAAATATTATTAGATTGTAATAATATGAGAGAGATAATAATGACTTATATAATCGTACAAATTAACCCATATCTGGGGCAAATGAAGATTCATACATTTCTATAGGCTATTTGCTTGTAAGTGTATATAACAAACGAGACTGAAATTGGGACTTGGTTTTGTGATTTCCAAATCCGTGCCTTAAACTATTAAACACATGCTTACCCAAGTTTGTAGCATATGGTATTCATGACCGGTAACCCATCTAGATACTGACAAGGCTCGATGATTTTTAACTTGGGTGATCACACGAGAAACTGTGTTTCAGCGTAATGATATGAGAGTAAAAGAAGTAAAAAAAAAACGGAGATAATGAAAGAGAAAAGGTGCGAATTAAACAAAAATAAGAGAGAGAGAGAGAGAGAGAGAGATTAAACTAATGCATAAGAAAAAAGAAATAAGGATTGAATGAAGAAAAGAAGAATAAGTGTGACGTAAACAAAGAGAAAGACGCAGTAAAAGAAATAAAAATGAGAATAGAATAACCAAAGAAAGAAACTGAAATAAATAAAAGAAAAATAACGAAAGAAATAACAGTAAAAGAAACAAAAGAAAAAAGAGGTTTGGTTTGGTTTGGTTTGTTTTACGGCATATCAGACTCAATGGATTATTTAATGCCGACAAGATTTTTACGGGCATGTATTACTGGTAATATTTTTTTAAAATATATTTTGCTGGTAATAATGTTTTTCTACAAAAATGCATAGTTGCTAATAACCTTTTACAAAAATCTATTGCTGATATTAAAACCTATTTTTAAACTTTCATAGTGTTTTGACCCTAGTTTGGTGGTCAAATATTTTCCCATAGCTGGGACCCTAACATATACTACCATCCCGGGTCAGGTTGAACCTGGGAGCACCAGCATTTAAGAGGTGGTTCCACGCTCCTCATAACCTAATCAGAGGCCTTTCTTTTGGATGCAGTTTATCGTCTTACCCAGCACACGGATGTAGTTTATCATCTTAACCAGGACGCAAAAAAGAGAGGATGAAATAAAATTTCATTTAATAAAAGAGAAAGAAAGAGAATAAGAAAAGGAAATAAAATAAAGGGTTTGGTGAAAGAATGAAAAATTAGTGATGTAAACATTAAATAAAGTAAAATAAATAAACGAAAATAAGAGAGGTCGAAAGAAAGAAAAACGTGTGAAGTAAACAAAAAAGAATGAATTTTAGAAACAAAGGAAGAGAGAGGAGAATGACCCCACCCCCCAAAAAAGAGACTAAAATATAAAAAAAAAGAAAGATAAAGAACCAAGGAAGGAAATAATAAGAAAATAGAGATGAAATATAGTGAGTGAAAGAAAGACTGACGTTAACAAAATGAGACAGAGAGAGAAAGAAAAAGAGAGAGAGGGTGTGTGTATGTGAGTGTGCGTGTGTGCCTGTACACAAAAAAAGAAATACACAAAAAAGATCGAAGATAAAATGACAAGAAAAGATGAGATCGAAATAAAAAAAAATAAAATGAAAGAAAAAACTGAGTTAACAAAAAATACAGAAAGATAAAAAAAAGAAGTGAAAAAAGAACGAATTAGTATAAAGAAAAAACAGAAGTAAAAAAAAACAATGAAAGGAAAAGGAGAAAGAAAGAAACTAAAGTTAACAAAAAATACAGAGGGAGTAAAATAAGCAAAGAAAGAAGTGTAGAAAAAGAAGAGAGAATGTTGAATAAAGAAAGAGTAGCTTAAACAAAAACAGAAAAACAAAAGAAACAATGAAAGGAAAAGGAAGGAAAGAAAGAAAGAAAGAAAGAAAGAAAGGAATATACAGAATGAGAATGAACTGAATAAACGAAAGAAAGAACGAAATAGTGTAGGAATGGACGAGAGAAAAAAGATGTAAGGAAATAAGTGTTAAAAAGGCAGAATAAAAAAAAGAAAACATTAACAAACAGAAAGTTGAAAAGCAGATTAACTATATTTATCAGAGATGAAATTTAATTTCAATTTTTATTATTGCATTATCCCAAAATTTTAGCACATCACCAGATAGCTATTAATGTCGACAACTGAGCACAAATATTTGTTAACTAAAAAAATAGTTATTAATGTATAATATTATCTATAACTACATGTACAAGAATGTCGTTTCTAATAAAAGTTTAAAAAAATAACCACAAAAACGTAAAAGATGCATATATTCTCGAAAATTCCTTTTTCCACAATATAGCTATTTGTCCTAAGTTATATTGCTTAATACATAAATAATAATAATATTAAAAATTATTTTTAAACATTAAAGTATATTTAATCACATCTCCCTAATAGCTGTCACGATCTGTAAATGAAATAAAAGAAAGAAAATATTATCAGTAAAATGAAACTATAAAGATTGTAGAGAGTAGATAGAAAGGAAGTATTGAATCTAAGAAATCCATAAAAGCTTAAATCTATTAGGCTATACTAGTTTCCTATACAGGTTTCTGTTTTTGGTTCCTTATTAATTTATAGTTTAAATATATACTTATAACTTCTCCGTAGAAAGTCTGATATTTTTTTTAATATTTTACTATTTAATTATTTTTCTCAATAGAAGTAGATAAGTTCGCCTATCGTCCGGTTCAAACACCTCCCCAGTTAGAGGTTTATCCCTATTTTCTCCGATTAGGATAGGGTTTGGATTCCGTCTAAAGTGTTCTTCCTTCTGCGGCGTACTTCGACTCTGTATTTCTAATGTCACCGCCTAAACTGTAACATTTATTATTTTCCCTCAAGAGAAGACGATAGGTTCGCTTATCATCCGTTTCAAACGACTTACCGGGTCTTTTAGATAGGACTAGTGTGTTATCCCTTACTTCATGTTTAGGATTGAGTTTCTGACTCCTTCTTCAGTCCATTTCAAATCTATACTTCTAAAGTCTCCGCCTTAAATCTGTTATTATTATTGTTATTATTATTATTATTATTATTATTGACTGTTTAATATTTTGTCCTCAATAGGAGTAGACAGGTTCGGCTATCTTCGGGTCCATAGTCCTCACCGTTCTTTTGCACACGTGTGGATGTTTATCCCTTTATGCCTGCTTAGAATTGGTTTTCTCTTTCTTTTAGAGTGTTTTTATTCTACTTCACTCCCAGTCGCCCCCTTGTATCGTAATGAAATTATCACATTGCTTTGGGTGAAATGATTAAACGAAATGGCAAAGAAAGAAAGGACGAAATAATGGAATAAAAAAAAAGAAACACTAAAAGAAAAAGAAAAAGAAAGAAAGTAAATTGAAAGAAACAAAAGAAATACAAAATATATACTGGACTTTATCTATATCAAAGCATTAATTTTTACCAACCCCCACAAAACTTCCATATAAAAAGTCTTTTAAACCTGCTCAAATAACTATAATAAAGTTTAGTTTATGTATTCTGAACAATAAACGTTTATCAACAATAACTAAGAATAAAAAAATCATTATGACCCTTCAATATGTCAGGGAACGCTGAACAATTTTCTTACGGATAAAAAAGAGAAATGAACTGACAGGGATGGGGTTCTAGGGAAGGATAAAGAGAATATAATGGTCAGAATATGTGAGCAATGAGGAAGTGTTTTTATGCGAATATGAACTAGAAGAACAAGTATATTTAAATCAGGGCGTAATAGTCAAAATTTCTTGGACACAAAATGACGAAAGCGGTCTTGTTGAATTTAACAATCACAGGATATATTGAAGGTAGGAAGGGCAGTGGATAGGAAGTTACTGAGAGCCATGAACTCTTACGCATCTTTTAGTTTGAAGTCAACCCTTTAATGGTTACGTGGTCAAGATCGTTAGAGGCTCGCTTTCCGACCATGAGATTCACGTTTTCGCCATAGTTAGTTTGTCAGGAATATGATTTGATGTTATCGGCTTGCGGAAGCGATCCCATACCGGAAAACCATACCACAGGCCTAGTGAATGAAACTGGGTAGACGGAAATATCTGGGAGCCGTCGATGGTTATGGAAGTCACAAGTCATCGTGACCGAGGGTTTCAGTAAAATTGCCTTGTGCCGGCTATTGATCACGCCCGAAACTGTAACTAATTCCAATCAACAGTTGCAGTATGAATCATATGTGTGATTTATGGCTGTTGAACAAACACAAATGTACCTGAGGAGGCGTCTTGAACAGGAATTGTCTAGACGCCCTATTAGACAGGTATCTTCAGATACGAGTGGTCATCCCTTAATCTAAATAGATAAATGGCAAATTCGCTCTGCCCGTCCGTGTGTCTGAACCCCCACAAACTCCGGCCACGCTTGCTCTACAAAGATATATTATAATATAATAGTATATACCTTTTTGGAATTAGGATGATTCATGGATTGAAAATCTGCCCTTCATCTGGTGTTTGAACATCCAGTATTGAGATTTGTGAAAAGATGATGAGGAAACATCTAAAAATTCAAATTTTAAAATAACTGAAAAAACACTTCGTGATTTTAAAGTTTTTTAATTTATATTCAGTTTAAAGTAACGAAAAACTTTGTGAATGTAATTTTCTATTGTTTTAAATTGAGTTTAACATGTCTACAAAACATTCTGAATTGAGGAAAGCAATTTTATTTCTTTTAAAAAATGCTAAGGAATAAGAGTTATATTAAGCCGTTTCATTATGTGAATTTTTGAAGTTCCACAGAGATTGTGATTTGAAGAACTCAATTATTGGCCTGAACTGGAATTTCGGCCCAAAACGGTCTGTTAGCTGGAATTGGACGTAGAACCTGAATCAAAGTTAAAGTCGGGGTTTGAAGTTCTATGGTGTGAATTGATGAATTCAATGTTATTTCTTCAAAATTATCATTGATGTTTTATAAGACTGACCAGAGGTTTGGGCCTGACCTAGCTTAAAAGTCCGAAGGGAATACGTATTTAAGCTAGTAATTAATATTTTAGGATATTATACAAAAACTTATAATCGACAGTTTTGCGTTTGGAGCCGTTATTTATTAAGACTTACTAATAATAAATCGTCGTAAACCTCGGTCGATCAACGTCGTCGTCTAATCTGTGATCTTGCCGATTGCCGCTCGGTATCTGCTACGACATTGCCAATTTTTACGTTTTTTAATTTAACCAAACGCTTCCTCTGTAACCAAATGATATAGCACGTCAGGTTATATGACTGTTCCGTGTAGGTTGCAGGTTCGATTCTTGTCGAATGACATGTATTTTCTATGTTGTTAATACTGTTTATTTAAACAGAGGAATTACTTAAAGTCTTTAACTATAAGATTAACGTATAAACAGAAAATATATTAAAATAACTGTCGGAATTAGTCCATTTCATAACACACACACACACACATATATATATATATATATATATATATATATATTATTTCAGAATCATTTTCCAAATTATTCATTATGATCGTCTCCATCTCTATCTTTCTCTCCTGGAGTAACAAGGAATAACAGTTTCACATAAGTTTACGGTATGGTTTATTCATAGGGGAAAATTTCTCTGTACTCGGTATACAGCATATTCTAATATAGGGTGTGTCCTCATAGCTTACGTATATACATAGACAGACACACAAACACACACATACACACTTATGCGTGCTTGTTCATGCTCGTGTATGTGTGTGTATGTGTGTGTGTATGTGTGTGTGTGTGTGTGTAAAACATTTGTATTTTGATACTAAACAGACAACCAGGGTAATGCTGAAAAATGTTTCTTTTTAAACCAAGAAGTCTCTGAAAATATAGTCTCGATATGAAAGATAGAGCATTGATAACAATAAAAGTCCCTATTCACCATATTTTATTTGAACTATTTACATTCTGACTATTGTCCTCATTTTTGTGTTTATCACAATATTTCTTCTCTTGTCCCCCCCCCACTCAAACTTGAACAGGTTTATATTGATCCGGTTTAATCACAGGGAATTCTGAACTGAAATCTTTAATTAATCCCGGGAGTAGACAGAACTCTTTCCACTCGTATCGTCTTACTTTTAGTACTTTTCGGTTTGGTTTGGTTTAGTTTGGTTTGTTTTAAGTCATATCAACCTCAATGGATTATTTAATACCGACAAGAATTTTATTGCTGGATTTTTTTTTTTCAAAAACGTATTGCTGGCAATATTTTTTTCCAAGAATATATTGCTTGAAATAATGTCTCTTCAAAAAGTTATTGCTGGAAATATTTTTTACAGAGTATTTCTGCTATTAAAACCTATTATTAAACATTCATAGCGTGTTAACTAAATGCCCATAACTGCGACCCTAACAGATGCTACCACCCCCGGATCAGGAAACACCAGCAAATAAGAGATGGTTAGACGCTCCTCAAAACCTCCTGATCAGAGGCCTTGAAGTTGGATGTAGTTTATCGTCATGCCAAGGACGTTGATGTAGTTTATCGTCATGCCCAGGACGACTTTTCAATTATTGTTTGCTTTGTTTCAACGAAACGTTTTGTCTATATTTACATTTCTAATATATATGAAGAATTGACCAAAGAAATGGGATAAATTATTATGGTTTTGAAAACAGACATTTTAAATGAGTATATAGATATATGCAAAAATACTTAAAACAAGTGGAAGCGGAAGAATAACTATATGAACATAATTATTTACGCTAACGTGTTTGAACATGAATTAGAAATAAGAAAAAACGAAACATGTCAAACCAATTATCACTCCTCGGTCTTCAAATCCAATCGTGGACAAAAAAAAAAACATATTGATATTTGCAGAATGCTTAAAAAGGTGGAGAAAGAAATTGATAGAGAATCAGCAGTAAAAAAAATCTCAGGTATATGACTTTTTGACCTAGCAGCCATTGAATCTTATCAACGAGAAAATACTTCTAGAGTTCTTAGATGGTAATCGTGCGCACTCTCCTAATTAGTGTGAAGATTCGAATTATTATTTAAGTGTTCGGCAATTGAGTTT